CCGTTCCGCAACCCTCCGTGCACCCACCGCGACAGAGTACAGGCCCCGGGCTAAGATAGGTCTCCCGCCCGATCGATCGCCGGGGACCGGGGACCCGGACTGCTCCCCCCCCCAGCCTCATCGTGCCCGCCCCCGCCCTACCTGTGGGGGCCCGGGCGGGGTCGCTAAGGGCCGCTCCCGGGAGCCCCGCGGCGGCGCGGCTCGGCGACACAGGCGCCTCGTCTCGCCGGGGCAGAGCTCGGCGGCGGCTTCACGGCCTCAAACTCCATCGGGAGCTACAGGGACAGCCCCGTTGGCGGCGGCGGAGGCCGCGACGGGGCCTCCTCCTCCTCCCTCCGCCTCCTCCTCCACCACCGCCTCTTCACCATGGAGGCGGACCTGGAGGGATCCAGACCTAACTCTCGCGAGAAGATACTCCCCACATCACGCGAGATCACGCAAAGCCAGGAGTCCGGGCGGTGGGAGGAAAACGTAGTGATAGCTCCAGCCACCTGGTCCGCGCGTTAGCCTCCCTGTGGTGGATGGAGCCGGACCACCCCCGGCACGTGACGAGGGGAAACTGGAATATATCGTGGGAGGTGCTGTTAGGATGCCTAGGCAAGCTGAAGGGGTTTATGGGAAACTCCCAGCACACTCATCTGCTCCTGGAGCCAGCCTCTTGGACATTGGTTTGAGCCAGTCTGCCCGCCCTCAGGATATTCGTGAAAATCGTGATATTCGTTTAACTTAATCTGATACGTCTGTATTACAATCTTATCACTCTCCCTCAATCAGATGTTGACCCCATTCCTCAATTCCCTTTAGGTGCCAACCAATCTCCCTGATTTAAAAAAAAAATAAAAGAAAAAGAAAGCATTTGTTTGACAGACAATAACGTACAGCTCTTTACTAACGAGAAAATTGTTTCTCAGAATCTGGCAGACATCAAAATTCAAGCACAAATTTTGGCACTAATAACTCCACAAAATTTGCTGCACGGTTTTTCACAGTAAACTGCAAGGTATAAATTATTCTGTTTTTATATCCGGAGAAATAGGCTTGGAATAGGGACACGGGGATTAATATTTATGGACAACTATGTGCCAGGTCCTGTGTTAATAAAAATTTCATTTTTACTATTTTTACTTTTATTTATAGTTCATTTACTCATCAGAATAATCCTAAAAGGCAGATACTATGTATTCTGTTCCTGAATAGAAGCTGAAAAACTAAGGTTAAAATGACCATGAATTGCAATTAAACTCAAGGCACTTTCCAATATGAAACCAGATATCCAACAAAAGAATCTATAAAAGTAAACCCACCATGAATTAGAAGACATCTGGAAAAATAGTTTATAACTATAATGAGCTTAATAATAAATATGGTTATTAATGCCTGGAAGACCAAAAAAATACCAATTTTTAAAAATTCAGTGGCCGCCCAAAGACTGTTCTCCCATACATTTTTATCCTTTTCATACTCTTCTATTTATGAAATATAAGCCAATCCTAGAGTTTCCCAACATGGTTCATTTGATTCAGTATTCCATTCAACTAGATGTGTGTGTGTGTGTGTGTGTGTGTGTGTATTTTCCATTTTACTGGACAGTTGTACACGGTGATCTGATAAGTTTTTTCAAAGGTGGACTGACCACTCACTATATTTAAAATTACAATAAGAATTTCCTTTCCCTAGCACTCCCTACTCTATTTTTTCCAACTCCATTTCCAAAATCTGACCTACATTAATTTTACTTGTTTATAAATTTCATCTCCCTCCACTAGAATTTAGGTTTCATGAGAGCAGGGGTTTTTGTTCATATACCTAACTTCTAGATATTGTAAGCACTCTGTAAATATTTGTTGAATGAATAGCCAGGAGAAATAGTTTCCTTCCTCAAAATTCATAAATGTACACAAAACACAAAGCTCTCCATTCCCATCTCCAGTTTATTATTTCTTATGTAAACATATATGATAGTTACATCCAACGAAAAAGGGAAAGGATTTTCTCCTATACAAAAAATAAAACAAAACAAAAAAACTACCTTTCCAAGATCTTTTACTCAAAAATGCAGTAAATGAAGAGGCTTAAGACAAACATTTTGCATTTTCCCCATCATATAGAAAAACAACCAACCAAAAGTGAATGTTTAAATGAATCAATTCAACACTTCACTTTGTCATGCCTGCATTTAAAAAAGTTTTTTCATTTTCCTGAAATTGTTTTAAGCACATCATGCAAACAGACATTCACCTAGAAATGTTTTGAGATCACTCTGTGCTAAATGGGCAGGAATAAATAAATAAATAACCATCACTTTCACAAAACACCCCTTCCCCACACGCAAAAAATCTCAAAGTGCTTACAAAAAATTTCACAAGAATCTTACAAGGCACACATAAAACTTAAACATAGTTCAACCATAATTCTGTTTTAATATCAAAGATGAGTAATTCATAAAAAACAACAGCCAAAAAGCTTACTATTTGTTCACCCACCCCATCTGCATCCCTCCCCAACTAAATTTTACGTAGAAAGCAAAAATAGGAAAAGTATTTCAAACACAAACGATTTCTGATAGAAAAATGTCTACAAATGGCCAATCATAGATCAAATGGGCAAGAAAATTTAGTATGGCACTATCATGTTCTCCAGTGGAAGAAAAACACTATTTGCTTTAGAAAATTTGTCTCTGAAGGAGTGCACAAATAGCGACATTCATAAAGACACCAAACTCTCTTTTGCTTTCCCCTCTTCTCTGTTCTCACGAACTCTGGAAGATTTAAATATAAAATCAGAGAATTTTAGACCTGGAAATGAGATTACAAATGATCAAGATCAAAGTTATTATTTTGCATATAAATTTAAGAGAAGCTCAAGAAGAGGTGACCCGTCCAATGATATAAATGGTGACCTGAGGGGTCATGAAGTTGGCTTTCTTATCAAATATGAGAGCTAGATTCTTTAAAGTCTCTCTCAGAGTTAAAATTCTATAGAAAATATATTTTTTTCACCAGTATCACAAAAAGGATAATTAACATTTGTAACAATCAACATGTGATTCCCCACAAAATTCTTATAAATGGTACAAAGTATGCTACATATTAAAATATGGAAGGGCTTCAACAGATACTAAATATAGTAGAAATGCTACATAAAGCTGAGGTGAGAAGAGGAATAGAACATCTTGAAAATAGGATGCATCCAGTCAGGCTTCTTCACTAAAAGTGGTTCCTGTTTAGAAAATATGACTTGCCCTGCAATATATTTTAATCTGCTTTATGACAACGAAGTTTTGTGTAACATGGAGACAAGGATATTGGAGAGCAATGGCTCATAACATAATCTGAAATATTACTATAAGTAAAATAACCATATGGTTATGGTTTTGCTTTTGGCACATTTCTGGAAATATAGCCTAAAACTACAGATGGCTAAGCTTTTTGTCAACATATAGTATTATAAATAAAAATTGCACGAATGTTCATGACTATTAATAATTAAGAGAACACTAATAGATATCCATGTTTAAACTGTTCATCTAGTGATAACAAGAAAATTACTATGTATTGACAATTTGGAAAGAAAAGGGAATGACTACTGACACACACAAAATGGATGAATCTCAAAGGGCATGCTAGTTGAAAGAAGCATCTCAAAAGAGCTCATACTATGATTCCATTTATGACATTCCAGAAAAGGCAAGATATACTGATGAAGAACTGTTAGCAGGATTTAGAGTTAGGAGGAGGAACTAGCTACAAAAGGGCAGCATAAAGGAGTTTGCGGGGGCTGGGGTGGTAATAGAATGTTATATATCTTGATTACAGAGGTGGTTGTATAAATCTATATATGTGTTAAAATTCATGAAACTATATACCAAAAACAAATCCTTTAGCAGATGGGATCACTGTTCGAGAAAGAAAATGAGCAATGAGAAGGAGCTAGATATGGGAAGTATTCCTCTTACTTCAGAGATGTCTGCTATAAGTGTTTTGAGCATACCATTCCTATTACCTAGATACAAAATTGACAAAGGTCAGCTTTACTATATGTTAACTAAAAGATAAAAGTGTCACCCAGCTGACATGGCTCAGTGATTGAGTGTTGACCTATGAACCAGGGGCACATGCCTGGGTTGTGGGCTCAATCCCCAGTATGGGATAGCAGGAGGCAGCTGATCAATGTCTCTCTCTCATCATTGGTGTTTTTATCTTGCTCTCCCCCTCCATTCCTCTCTGAAGTCAATAAAAATGTATTTAATAACAACAAAAGTGAAACAAATACACAAAAAAAGCTGGGGTTTCTAAAAGTAATTTTTTAGAGCTTCTAGTCAATGGTATTTTACTGGCCACAAAATTATTAGATGCCACTGCATTAAATAAAATCAAGACACTTGGGCCTATTGAATAATTTATAAAATATGTATACTAACAAACCATAAAAATAATATTTTAAGAAACGTATAAGGAAATCCTGCTATTCTCAAGTGAATATGAATTGTGTTCTTTTACATTTTATAACAACAGGTACCTTGGTGTTTAGTTTGCAATCCAAAAGCAGTAGGTTAAAAAATTTATTAGTCCTATCTGATTTTAAAGTGAATAATAATGGATCATAGGGTATTTTGAAATTTATCTTTCCATTATCTTAATTCATTTGTTATTACATGGTCAGATTATTTTTTACACTTCCATCAACTACATAGATATTCAAAATCTGAATATGGAAATTCTGCTGGATCCACTGTTATTAGAATCAATAATATGTAAGAGAAGAATAATCTATCTCTAGGCATACAATTGGGATTTATATAACACAAGATGTGAGATGGCGTTCCATCAGCTTTCTCATGTCTCCCACACTTTGGGACTCTTAGTGTAAGTTTCAGAAAGAATAATGGGTAGGCAGACCACAAATAAGATCCAAAGATGAAGAGGAAACAATATCACAAATGCTACATTTCTAAAGAAAGACTTGCCTAACATAGCTTCCATAGCAAGGTTTAATTCTACTTATAACAGATTTTGTTGGTGGAGATCACGAATAGGTATTTTTTCACCACTGTTCCGGCCATGCACAGAGGTGACATGCTTTTTGAGGGCAGATTTGTGCTTGAAATCCATATCACAACACTGGCATTTGTATGGCCGATCCCCACTATGTATGTTCAAGTGGTCCTGCAACGTGCTTTTAGCAGTAAATGTCTTCAAGCACACAGAACACTGGAAGGGCCGTATGCCCATGTGCCCTCGAATGTGCCGGTTGAGATTTTTCTTCTGTGTAAAGGTTTTCCCACACTGTAAGCACAAGAACAGTTTATGCATCTTAAGGTGGCGCAGATAGTTTTCAACATGAAGAAATCCTCGTGGACACCTGGGGCACTGGTGCCTCAATGAATAAACATCTTCCAGGTTCTGAATCTCATTGGCTGTTCCATGACTTCCTTCAATATTCCCACAAAATGACCCCTGATCTTGATTCCCAGGAACTTCTGCCACTCTGCTCTCAACAGTAGAATTGATCAGTGAATGCTGTGTTTCCGAGAAATACATGCTTGCTTTTGAAGAAGTACAAGGCTGTGAAAACTGCTCATTCTCTACACCCTCGGAATTTATAGATTCCACACGGAGGATACAAATTTCATTGTCTTTAAAACCTAGATCAACTGAAGAGAGCTCTGGTGACTTCATTTCCTGTCTCTCTGATGTCAAGCTCTCTACTGTAGATTGCAACACATTGCTTTCCTCTTCTTTAACGTGGAAATCTATGTTGACAGGACTATCTTCTGAAATTTCAATGATCTCACAGTCTTTATCTGTATTTTCTTCCTCATTTTTAACATCTGGGTTAGAGGACTGACACAGGTCGGTGTGTTGGTTGTTGTTTTTCATAGAAAGGTCAATTTCCAGGTATCCTGACAAAGCTTCTGTACACTTTTCCACAATGTGAACCATCTGAAGGTAACTAGCAGCAGTCAAGTATTTCAAAAGCTCTTTCCTTTTCACTTCAAGCGCTCCAGTATAGCAAGAGAGCAACAATTTCCTGCCAACTTCTGCACTCTGCAAGATGGTAATTCTGACATGTTTTGATTGTGTGAGTAAAAACTGATCTCTCATGAAAGTGGAGCAAGCAGCTAGTATCACCTTGTGCCCCTGGAACTCGGTGTCATTAATATAAATGGATACATCACAAAATAAATTCTGCTGTCTCAAGAGATTCATTTTTTGCAAGACTGCATCTCCTTGCTGTTCAAACTGGAAGTGCAGAACATCAGACTCTGCAGCCATGGTCAAAATCTAAGCAAAATATAATACAAACATTGATGTAAGGATAGGAAATGGTTTCCTACACTGTGCTAGTAAGAACAAACAAAATTTTAAAATCCCATACCTGAATTGGGTAAAAGAATACTCACTCAAATTTTAATCCGGGTGCTAAGAATAAATTCCATAAAACTAAATCTCAAAATCCAGAAAAATTAATATGCATTTCTCTCTGATCTCATGGCACATTTTTCATATTTCGTCTAACAGCACTTATATGATATTGAATTGTACTTATCAGTTTCTATGTTTTTCTCCTCGGCTAAATTTATGTGTCTTGTGTTGTTAATGCCCATTACTAAATGGATTTAAGTCTCCCAAATTAGAGACCTTAATGTAATCTCCAAACTTTAGACTCCCCATCAGAACTGCAGGACTTTATCGGTTCACCTGGCCCACTGCCATGTCTTCCAAAAGTTCTCCTGAAACCGGCCTTTTATATTTCAAACTACCCTCCTGAGTGCCATCAAAATTGACATCTTTTAAAACTTTTCTTTTTCTCCTCTACCTACGGGACAGCCTAACCTCCTCATGATTTGGCCCTAAGCATCTTTATAGCTTTATCTTTCCTCTACTCTTTTTCCTGGAAGTTTCTTTGATATTCAGATTTTCACCATGGCCCAGGCCAGGAGACCCCGAAAGCACCTTTGCACATGTTAAGCTCGCCCTTCCAGTTATTTTTCCCAGCTAGCGATTTAGCTCCTTTAAGGCCTAAACCAGGTAAGACTTCCTAGGCTCCTCCTGTCTCCCCCTTAAGAGTCGGTTGCTTCCAGAGCATCACGACACAGCGGACTCGGTGCCCCGTTCAACCGAGTTCCTGCAGCGAACGCTGGGGACTGGCACGGGGCAAGGAGCAGGAACTGCTTAGGGGACGTCTGGGGAACTGAGTCTGGGTTCCGGCGGCCGGGAGGATCCGCCAGGCTGCCACAGGTCTTCCTGAGCCCAGTGACAGGACCGAGGCCCTGCCGACCAGGCGGCGACAGGACCAGTCCCGCCACTGCCGGCGGCACCCCGCCGCCGCCCCTCCCCTCCTGCTCCTCCTCGTCCGGCCTCCCCACCTAGAGCCTCCCTGGCGCTCACTCACCCACTCCGAAAACCAGAACCGACGTTTCCGCAGCAGAGCCCGGACCGGAAGACGGACTTAGTCTGAAAGGAAATACATCCGGTGTCAACCACCTTGATCCCTCAGGGGGCGGGCGGAGCATCCCGGAAGAACATTCGGGGACATCTTCCCTTCCTACTCCCCCCGCCCCCGCCCCGGCGGAATGACAAAGAGACGCCCGATTCCTGCAAATAAATCCCATCTCTCCGGTCCCTATATCCCTGCGGGAGCCAACTCCGCTTCTGAGTTCTCCCCGACCTCCGGATCACAGGCGGCTTGTGAAGTTAGGGTACAGTTAAGGTGACCAGATTAAAAAATCGGGACTTTTTTAGAACGCCATGGGACGCGGGACAAATTGTTAAGAATCGGGACTGTCCCGCCAAAAGCGGGACGACTGCTCACCTTACTAAAGGCACCAGGAACTGCCTTGAATTAGCTGGCTCTTAGTTGGTAGCCTGTCATACCTCCAGTCTGCCTTCATCATTGCAATTATCATTCCAGTTATTGAAATCTGCGTCCTATCTAAGCAGAGGTATTTAGGGCAGTGCCTTACTGATCTTTACAGTCCCCAAGGCTAGCACTGAGTAGGTATCCAAGTATTTGCCAAATGAAGGAATTTCTGAACCAGTTCTTAAAAGCATTTGCTTTACCCCTTCGTCAACAGGCTCTCCTTTAAGTAACTGACCCTAGAAACAATTTCTGGTTAACCCATATTTGGTTCTGAAGCCAAGCTCAGCATAGTTTATTAATATGTGTTTTAAAGAATACAAATGAAGAAAGCATTCCTGTATTCAAATTCAAACAATTGAAAAAGAAAGGAGGGGAGAAAAAAAATAAACCACTCACACCAGAGCTTTAATTGTCACACTTTTATTAAGGAAACTTCCCCATAATAAGTGAAGAGGTAGTTCATAGTATGTCTAACATACAACAGGTTTAGAACAGCTATTCACCAGCTGAAATAAAATGTTCTAGGTGGTTGTTTGTTTGTTTTTAGGACAGTATTTAAAAGTAGTGACACTGGTCACCCTCCACTTACAGATTTTCTAAAAAAGAAACTAAAATTAAAACCACATCTGATTTACCTCAGAGCTGCTTCAGTTTGGAGTTTGTCTTTAAAATTAAATAATAAATAAATAACTGTGATACAGTATCTTTTTTAAACCAACTACGGTAAAGAGTGTTCTCCCCTTTTTAGTTTTCCTGGGGATCCATGAAATACAAAATGCTGAGTAACGAAGGATTTTAAAAACCTTCCTCTATAAAACGTACTTGATATCAATAACTATACCGCTTTGCAATACAATCTAAGAAACATGTATAAACAAAGGAGAAAAGTAAAATCCCACCAAAATTAAGAAAATGTCTCATAGAAACAGAACACCTCCCCAACCAAGAGGTTTGCAGTACAAAAGGTGAGAACTGTAGCTTTTACAGATATAAAACCATCTAGATGCTGATTTTAAGTGATCAAAAAAGGCAAGGCAGTTTCCTTTATTACTCCTACTATAAAATCAAATTGACATCTTAGCTCCTGAAGCCTACACAAAACTGTAAGATCTGTAAGAGCAGGGATCATTGCAATCTTACCTTCATGTCCTCATCATCTAGCATAGTGCCTGGCAACAGTAGATGCTCAATAAATATTTCTTGAATGAATAGATGAACCCAGAAACAGTCTCCACACAAAGAGACCAATTTTTTTTGAACCCCTGATTTTTAGTCTTCAAACCAGTAACAAAAACAGGACATAAATATAAACAAAGGAAGCACTCCAACATGAAATTTCCATGATAAAATGATGTTCAAAGGAAATAGTGAATTGTTGGTTGACATGATAATGTCTCACTGTTGCACAGAATTAAGTCAAATTCACATATAAATGTATCACATTATAACAATTTTAAGAATTCCTTGACTACTCAAGTCAAACTTAATTTTTGGCTTATCTGTATATGCACTCTCAGCTCAAATAGGAAAACAAAATCCTGATGGAAATTAAACACTGTTTCCAGACAAAATCAGTTTCACATTTAGATCCTTCTTACATTTATTCTTACTTGTCCTTTTCCTCCCTAAATAATACCCAGCAAATCAGTCACTTGATTGGGAAGAATGTAATATTTATTCTAACTAAAAAATAACTAACAAAAATAAATCCTGTGATATTTTGTTTGCAAAATCCAGGCTGTCTTAGAAAGCCAATAGGGATTCACAAAGGTGAGTTTTTTGCTAATGTATTATTGATTATGTACTAAATCTTTTTAAGCAAGGGGTAGTGAGAAAAAATGAAGAGATATTAGCTCATATTTAGTCACTTGTCTTATTTGGCTAACCTTGGCCAGGCCACCTCTTTGGGCTATGAATACCCCAACTTAAAAAAAAAAAAAGAGGTGGAGTAAATTATCTCTTAAGACTCTCTAAGGATTCTAACACTTCTATTACCTATGTCTAACGCATGGGTTAGAAACTAATAAGATTCAAAATTTTATTTCTGAACTACAACACACAGTTGTTGTGTTTTGCCATACTGGAAAATCAACTTTTGCATTAGTGATCTATCAAACATAGCAAGGTGGGGCTATAGGAATATCTGAATGCAAAAGCCTGGTTGCTCATTCCGAAACCCCCTTTTTCATCCATTTTAGAAATTAAGGTACTTGAGTAAATGAGAATTCAGAGACTCTTAGAGTACACTGACCAAAACTCTGAAGCCCAAACACCTTTCCGATGGCTAAACACCTCTCTGATAGCTAACCTCTAAAGCAGAGTCCAAATGCTGACTCCTACATAGTTTCTTTTTAGAGAAACGATTATACTTTAAGCACATTTTAAGCATGCTAGGAGCATCAACAAATAATTTACACATGAATAATAAGCATTTGGCTTCTTTTGAGGAAGGCCTCTCAAATTAAATTGTAGTACAAATGTACTTCTATCCTTTGTTGATTATGCTCCTCATGGCATACTTAACTGTGCCTGCAGGTGTTGTCGGAAAGATTGTACTCTTGTCTATGTGAACAATTCAGTGACATAAAGTTGGACCATAATGCTGTTGAAAAGAATGAACAACTTAAAATACTTCTTTATAGCCAGTTCCAAGAAAAGTACAAATGGTAGGGAGTCATTCATTCATCTGACCAGACATAGATGAATTATAAATAGGCAACCAGAAGTTCTATCATATATTCAGGCCAATAGCAACATCACTTTATAGCTTAGCCTATTTTCTGCCAAAGAAAAATATCATTCACTTCTCTCAGCATAGCATTCATTAGTGGACTGCAGGTGATGTTATTAACTTGTTGGTACCTTCAGAATGTGTCCAGTGAAAAGCCTACAATGTGTCAGTCTAAAATATAAGTCAATGTTAGGTAGACAAATGGAATACTCCTTGGGAAAGGAAGACAGGCGTCACAAGATAATTCAAAACAGAAAATGGGAGAGGGCAAAAGGAAGGCTAGACCACTCTAAGTGGTAAGTTGCCTTGTCTGTTAGTACTTTGATTCACTCTAACCTGCACAGAGATTTTGTAGAAGTCAAACTAGCAAAATCTCTCCTAAAAAAAAACCCCCAAAACTCAGACTATTGCCACGTTTTCAGTCGTTTCTAGTTTTGAGCATAGAGCCCCTGTTCAATTCACACAAGTACTATCATTTCTTAAGTTCAGGACAGCTTGGGCCAGTTTACCTGCATCCAGGACCTGTGTTGCATCAGGCTGTGGCTGACACCCTTTGGAGTCTGTCACTGTCGTACATGCAAAAGAATCAAAATCCACTGTGAGGTCTTGCACATTTCTCTCATTGGCATTATCAAAGCTGTTTTTGCCATGCAGCTGTTTAAGGTGTTTCCTCAAAACTGGCTTATGTGCAAAAACCATGTCACAATAGTTACACTTATGGGGCTTATCTCCACTGTGAAGGTTAAGATGATCCTGTAAGGAACACTTCTGAGAAAAGGTTTTCCCACAGATCTTACACTGGAAAGGTTTAATGCCGGCATGCACACGCATGTGTCGATGAAGGTTGCCTTTCTGGGTAAACGTCTTGCCGCAGAGTAGACACATAAAGAGTTTGTGCATTTTTAAGTGGTTGGCGTAGTTCTCCAGGTGACGGAACACCCTGGTACACTTTGGGCATTGGTGATGCCACTGTAGGCCTTTGTCTACACCTCGAATGTTAGGCCCAAAGACATCTTTTGAGGCCAAGACGATGTTATCACTGCCTGCGTAAGAGAGGGCATAATTGTGGAGATGGTTTTGTTCTATTTCACTTACTCTGTTTTCCACAGTTGAATTTATCAGGGAGTGCTGGGGCTCTGATGAATGTAAAGCAGTGGGTTCAGAAGAAATAAACTGGTTCTGATCTTTCTTACTTCTAACCTCTGAGACATCCCCAATAGATTCTACCTTAACAATCTGAATATCACTGTCCTCCATATCCATACTGTCTTCAGATGGATGAATGCAAGGTGAGTCCTGCTTTGGGGAGCCTCTGGCATCTCCCTGCTGTTCTTTTGACTGGGGAGAAGCACTCTGTGGTTCACATCCCTCTTTACTATCCATTGCTTGTTTTGGCTTTATAAACTTCCACAAGGCCTGTGTGCACCGCTCTACAATGTGGCTCATCTGAAGAAAACTTGCAGCAGTCAAGTAATTTACCAGTTCCATCTCGGGGAATTCCAGCACACCACTATAACAGGATAAGAGCAATTGTCTCCCCACTTCGGAACTCTGCAATATGGAGATTTTCACCTCTCGGGAATCATTCAGTAAAAACTGGTCTCTTAAGAAGGGGGAACCTGCAGCAAACACAATTTTATGCCCCTGCACCTCAATATCATCTATGAGCACTGTAACATCACAAAATTTATTCTCTTCTCTTAATTTGTTCATTTTTTGTAACATTGAATCTCCATAATTTTCAAACTTGAAGTGAAGGAGATCTGATCTTTCAGACATTTTGGCAGACCTAAAGAACAGAAATGTAAAAAGGATGAATTGAAGAAAATTCAAACAATGAAGAAACCTGAGTTTTCTTTCCAAAACCAAATCTGTGTTATCATATCGGTTTGTATGTATCCAAATGAAATTTGTCTGGAAAGAGGAAACAATACAACAGCTTTCAAAGGCTGTTGAAAATTACTCCATGTCAACATCAGCGTCAACTGTACCTAAGGAGTGGACTTGTATCAGTATGAATAGCTTGGCATTCATTCAACTTTTAAAGATACAGGAATAGTGCACGAGTTACTCCGTGAGCATTTTTTTTTGCCTTCTCAAATGAGAATTCTTTCAGATTTCAAAAAGAAACGAAAACATCCCAACAAGCAATAATGATGTAACTATTTTCTTTTGCATGACACTGTGAAGCTACTTTAAAGTCTAAACACTGCTCTTTTGTTTTGTATTTTAAAGAATTGCAGTGACATTGCTTGCCCCATTTCTGGGTAAACCATCTTCTGTTTAAAAGGACGTGTATTTATTCATATAAGTATTTCTACAATAAAATGAAAGTTACAGACCTAAAGGGATAATGTATGTCTTGTGCACTGGACAAATCTAATTTTCTCTTGAGAAACATTTCTTGATACAGAAAGAAGATAAAATATCTGATATAGAAAAAACATAAGCCACTTGGTGGGAATTTGAGTAAGAGTAAATATATAATTAATTTTTACTGGACTCTGGTCTTTCTTCTTTGCCCAAATTTATACATCATATTCATCAACTGGACAACTAGAACTGACTCATACGCATTCTTTGGTTTCCTGGTTCAATTCCTTTTAATCCAACTCCTACACCAGCAAGTGACACCTTTAGAAAACACAGATCTAATTATACTTTTGAATATAAACTGATTAAGTAAACTAATAATTAAGATAAATATTGGCATACAACTTTAACTTGTCATTTTTAAAAAGTAAAAAGGTGTCTTTGCCATAACTCTCGGCATATTTGTCCCTTTATAGAGCAATTCCTTTGGAAAAAAGTCCCCATATTCTGATTCCATTCTCTCCAAATAATTTTCTAGTAACTTGGCTTCCTGTGTGTATCTCTAAAAGGAAGGGTGAATTAGCTATGCCACCAGCCAATGTAAAAATAGTAAACTGGCATTCTGTGTCTATATACTAGTCTCCTGTGAGAACAGTAGAGTACCAGCTGTACCTTGAAAAAAAGCTCTATAGTTTCAGTCCATCAATAAATTCATCTTGAATTTTGAACATTCATCAACTCTGTAGTTGAGAACCAGCTACTCTTGGCCACATCTGGATCCTAAAGCCCACTCTTTATAATTTTATCTTCTATAACATTGACCTGCAAAGGTTCATAGAACACCAGCTCCTGAAGGCAAGAGTCTAAGTCTTTTTTTAAAAATATATATTTTATTGATTTTTTTTTTAACAGAGAGGAAAGGAGAGGGATAGAGAGTTAGAAACATTAATGAGAGAAACATAGATCAGCTGCCTCCTGCACACCCCCTACTGGGGATGTGCCTGCAACCAAGGTATAATACATGCCCTTGACTGGAATTGAACTCTTCAGTCTGCAGGTCAACACTCTAGCCACTGAGCCAAATCGATTAGGACAAGAGTCTAAGTCTTATATTGCTCAGTGCCTGGTGCATGATAGCACTCTACTGACTTTAAGTCTTAGCACAGTTATTTCTTTAGTCTAGAACACTATTCCTAGCCAATTCTGACTTCTTTATTTTCCTCATCCTTTAGACTAACAGTTTTCTCTACTGAACTTATTACTTGGTACTTCAATCATAACATTAAAATCATTTATTAAGTACTTGTTCCTTCCCCTCCAAACTGCAAGCTTCACGGTATTGCACAGAAACATCGCCATCCTATTCAACAGGCTAATGTTGGGAACATTCACCTTCTAAAACCAAACACTTTTTCCTTTCACTTTAAATTATACTTATTGCAGCCAAAACTGGTTTGGCTCAGTGGGTAGAGCATTGGCCTGCGGACTGAAAGGTGTTGGGTTCGATTCCAGTCAAGGGCATGTACCTTGGTTGCGGGCACATCCCCAGTAGTGGGTGTGCAGGAGGCAGCTGATCGATGTTTCTCTCTCATCGATGTTTCTAACTCTTTATCTCTCTCCTTTCCTCTCTGTGAAAAATCAATAATATACATATATATTTTTAAAATTATACTTATTGCAGCCACATTATTGGTCAAACCCTCTTCTGTTCAAACTGGTGTGTTCTCCTGCCATCTAATACTGTACTAAACACACAGCAGTGCTCAGTTTGTGTTTGTTAAACCTACAGGATTTGTTTGGCAGTGGTAAGAAGGAAGAATTGCAGAAGCATTACAGGTCTGAGGCCATGAGAGCTTAGGAAGGAATGAAAATGGGAATATAGAGCAAAGAAAAATAACAAAAGGTATTTCATAAAACTTGGTAATTTACTGGACACAGAGAATGAAACAAGGAATGTGTGAAGGGTCTAAGTGTAGAAGTTCAGCTAAATGAAACTGTCATTGAAAGAAAGGTAATATTTAGGAGGAAGAACTGGTATGGTACAGGTATATTTATGTATTTACAAATATATTTGATTTATGGAGTCCCCATTGTATATATAAAATATACTTTATTAATTTTTTTCAGAGAAGAAGGGAGAGGGATTGAGAGCCAGAAACATCAATGAGAGAGAAACATGGACCAGCCGCCTCCTGCACACTCCCTACTGGGTATGTGCCCACAACTAAGGTACATGCCCTTGACCAGAATCGAATCCAGGACCCTTAAGTCCACAGGCCGATGCTCTATCCACTGAGCCAAACTGACTAGGCCTGGTACAGGTATATTTACAAAAATATACATAAGATGTAAAGAAGTAAATATTGCATCAGAGAAAATATGGTGAATATTAGATAAAAAGAAATAAATCTAGGAGATATATCAGTAAAGAAGCAGCAAAACTGTATTATCACTGGTCAGTGTTAGCAAATACAGTAGCTTAATATATTTGTACTGGAAAGAATGAATGTCCCAATTGAAAAACAGAATTTTAAAAATGGCTATTGTTTCAAGCAACCAAACAAAAGGGCATTCATTTTTAGAGTTTAGCTTGTCCTTAATCCACCCTCTGATCAGTATTTTCCCACTCATACCCCAAAATGGGCATTCACTACTTCCATCTGCAATGTGACAGTATTCACAATACTTTATTTAGACAACTATCCTCAGGGATCATTGTTCCTTGTAGCTCCAAAGACGAGGAGCTGGAAGTTTCCTTTACTTACTCCTACCCATCAGTCTCAATAAACTTACCAAGAGGAGCAGCCAAAGAGGCATTCAGGAAAGTGCTTGCATTGAGTAAAAAAGACATTTCATTCTGTTTAAGAGTTTTCAGTAATAAGTGTCAGCCCACTCTATTGTTTCCCTTTGATAAACTCTTATTTCCAGGCCACACTTTATCCCTTAATTGTTTCCTGTCACTAGTTTCTCTTTCCAATAGACTTATTTGAGAGAAAAAATCAAGTGCTATTTTTTTAGACATATCATTCAATAAAACACAGCAGAATAATAAACTCCCTATGAAATTATTATTGAGTGCTCTGGGGAAAATTTCTTATGAGGGTTTATTTCTAAAATACTTCTGATAATATAAAACTAAGTTTTAAACAAGCCTTTTTTTTTTTTTTTTTTACTTTTTAAAAAAAAAATTTTTCTTTTCTTTTTTTTTTAAAAATATATTTTATTGATTTTTGTACAGAGAGGAAGGGAGAGAGATAGAGAGTTAGAAACATCGATGAGAGTCATTGATCAGCTGCCTCTTGCACACCCCCTACTGGGGATATGCTCGCAACCAAGGTACATGCCCTTGACCGGAATCGAACCCGGGACCTTTCAGTCCCCAAGCCGATGCTCTATCCATTGAGCCAAACCGGTTTCGGCTTTTTTTTACTTTTTAAAAATGACAAAATGAAAGGAAATAATGGTGTTTCTTATAAACTGGCATAATTTTATTTAAGAATTAAGAATTAAAGAAATGATAGTTAATCTTTACAGAAACCTTGCTTTATACCAAGTATAGGCTAAGTGCTTTACCAATATCTACCCATTTAATCCTCAAAAAGGTAAGTATTATTATTACCCCAAACTTACATATGTGGAAACTCAAGCCTGGAGAACATAAATAACCTCCTCAACTTAAGAGAGGTAGAAAGTGTTAAATATTATAGTGGAACTTGTGCCCAAACTTTGTGATGCCAAAATGTGTCAAACAACTAGGCCAGCTGAGGTGTTATAAGTATAATGTTAATTGTGGAACTCCTCAGATTTCCCTCATGTCCATTCAGATGGATTCTTATGATTTATATGCTTTTGTGTATTTAGTTCAATAAAAGGCTTATGTTTAAAAACAAAAAGTACAACTTAAAGTCAAATCTGTGTCAAGTCTAAAGACCTTAATTGTAAGTGATTTTTGTATTAGTCTTATCCCTGATTGTATTTTATGCCCTAACCCTTGCTTTATCTTGCTTTTTCACCTATTTTAACTGTTATATTTCCATCTTTGTGTATTTACCTTTTTGAACTGAAACAATTCAATTTGCAAATAAAACAGAGAATGAAAATTACAAGTATATTTGATTTATGGAGTCCCCAATTGTAGTTAACATGTAAGTATAGTAATTATTCATAATTTTCATAACAATCACTCCTATATGGCAGAGTTTCTAGTAACTGGAAGAAATAACTGAGCAGGTAGAATTGGTTACCACATCCTGTTGATTCTTTCCTCAGAATGATTTCAAAATTCTCTCTATTCTTTGTTAAAAATATATTTTTATTGATTTCAGAGAGAAAAAGAGAGAGAGAAACATAAATGATGAGAGAGACTCATTGATCAGCTGCCTCCTGGACGCCCCCAACTGTGGACAGAGCCCACAACCTGGGCATCAGACCTGACAAGGAATCAAACCATGATCTCCTGGTTCATAGGTTGATGTTCAACCACTGAGTCATACCGGCTGGCTGTCTCTGTCTGTCTGTCTCTTATTATTATCATTGCCATAGTTCTGGTCCTAATCAACTATTGCTTAGATTACTTCAATTAAATCTGAATTCTAACCGAAACCGGTTTGGCTCAATGATAGAGCGTCGGTCTGCAGATTGAAAGGTCCCAGGTTCAATTCCGGTCAAGGGCATGTACCATGGTTGCGGGCACATCCCTGGTAGGGGGTGTGCAAGAGGCAGCTGATCGATGTTTCTCTCTCATCGATGTTTCTAACTCTCTATCCCTCTCTCTTCCTCTGTGTAAAAAATCAATAAAATATATATTTTAAAAATCTGAAATCTACCTACCCTGTTTCCCCGAAAATAAGACCGTGTCTTATATTAATTTTTGCTCCCAAAGATGCGCTAGGTCTTATTTTCAGGGGATGTCTTATTTTTCCATGAAGAAGAATATGGTATACATTTATTGTTAAATGAAAATAAAGGAAATTTATTACCTGTATATGGTACGGTAGCATGGTAGTTGTCAACACAAACCAGACAAACTGTGAATCCTACAGTATCAAGAATTTACTCATTTATTCAATGACAACCATGCCATCCTCTTCTGGAACATCATCATAACAATCCAATTCCTGAATTTCCTGGTGAATTTCTTGTGACTCCATTTCTTTCAGAACTAGTGGACCAAATCTTTCATGTTTAGCCTAAGGGGGGGCCTTATTTTTTGGGAGAATGCCTTATATTTCACTCAGAAGGAAACCTGTAAATAGGTCTTATTTTCAGAGGATGTCTTATTTTTGGGGAAACACGGTAGTTTCCATTAGCAAATTTTGAATGACCTATTTCTCAAATATTAATGTAATTCTCACTTAAGATCACTTTCGCTGTTTATTTACATAATTTTTCCATAATTACGTTCATGTCACAAATGTGTCAACTGATTTGAAAATTTCCCTTTGTTCAAATGTGTAACCAGAAAGGAATACGTATTCCAAGTTAGACAATGTTCAGTGAATATGTATTCCAAGTTAGACAATGTTCACTGGTATGCTCTGAGCAGTGAGAAAATACCCAAGATTCTCAAATGCCTCTAATAACTACTGATAAGGAAAACTTTTCTATCTGTACAATAATCCCCAAGCTGTAGGTCAGTCTGTTTCCTCATCTACCTCATAAGTATTTTTATCTTTCAATTTAGCACTCAGAACTATTCGGAAATCTTTCTTTATCTCACTAACACTATATATCATTCTTTAAAGCTGCTGTAATATACCACAGCCTTTCTCTCTATAACCCTCAATCTTTTTCTTCTTTTGGGTAACTGTCGTAACACTACATTCTCCAAGTTTTCACACTTTTGTGCCCCCCCCTTATTATTCTACAAAACATATACAGAAATACATCATTTCTGGAAAAATTTTGAACATTATAGATAAAGTAAAAGTCCCCTTTCCCAACTACCTTTTACTCAATACTCAGTTTGTTCTAAGTTTGGTCCTTAATGACTCTCCCTCCCCCCCCATTTAAATTTTTTAGTTGATTTATTTTAAAGAGAGGAAAGGAGGGAGGGAGAGATTTGTTGTTCTATTTATTTATGCGTTCATTAATTGATTCTTCTATGTGCCCTGATCTAACCAGAGATGGAACCCACAACCTTGGCGTTCCATGATGATCTAACCCAGTGGTCGGCAAACTGCGACTCTCAGGATAGGGGCTTAATCACAAGGAACAACAATAGCCTGTAATTATTGGAATAGAGAGTCTAGATCAGTGCTTGGCAAACTCATTAGTCAACAGAGTGGCAAACTGCGACTCCTTCCCCATTTTAAAAACAACACTTCTGTATGCCTACCCACAGAAAAATAAAAAATTATGTTTCTCAGACATAAAGTATACATATTGTTTGCAACTTTCTTTTCTCATTTATTGTTTTTGAGACCTATATATGATAGACCTAGTTCATTTTTTTTTTTAAACTGTTGTATAGAAGTGGGAAAGTTACTTAACTACCTGCTTTAATTTTCCACCAGTCTTTTGTAAGGATTCACAAAAGTATAACAGTAAATATAACCTTCACAGCTTGGTCCTTGATTTTTTCTTGTGTTTTATTTTTTTCAGTGCTTACTTCCTCAGAAGCCTGTCTGGTTTCTCAATGTTCTATTACAGTCTCTATTTAAAAACTCCTAAATCCTCACCCTCAAGACCAACCTTAACCAAACTTAGCCAAACTTACTCAAAATACTTGCCTTAGGCTATTACAGTATCAACTGAAATACATGATGGCTAAACTATTGCATTATCTAAAATTCAATTACTCAAAAATAAGAATTTATGGAGAATGGTTCTAAGAAAAGTAGATGTGAAGGCAAAAAAACCTGTTAGTATGCTATTACTCAAGCAGATCAAGTTAGAAATGATGAGGACTGAACAGAGATGGTAATAATTATGGATGGAGAGAAGAAACAGAATTGAGAATTTTTCCAACCAATCAACCGATGAACTTGGTGACCAAGGGGATGAACAAAAGAGGAAATGTCAAGATGACACCAAGATATTTGGCTAGAGTGACTGGATGTCTTTAAGAGTGCCATTCAATAAGTTAGGAAATACTGGAGGGGATGATCATGGGTCTGGTCATAAAATGTTTAGTCAGAGGAGCCAACATGACAACAAGGGTTAGTTGGATATGAGTCTGAAGTTGAAGAGGAGACTAGATTATAGATTGTAAGTGATAGATGAAAGCGTGACATCAATTGACCTAATTGTGAAAGAAATGGACCTAAAATGGCACAGATTGAAAGAAGAGCTAAGACAGGAGGAAAGAAATAAAAAAGAAATACATAACAAATACAAAACCATTACTTACCTTCTTTTCAATCTGAATCTCTTTCCAAGCCTCTCCATTTTTACCAATGAGCTTACCTTTGTTTAAAATTTTCCCACTCCTTGACTCCCATATTTAGTCACTGTTTACTTTAGTAGTATAAAGCTCTGAATTCTGGGGCCATATTTCCTAGAATCAAAACCCTGCTCAACCACTTATAGCTGTATCACCTGGAGCAAGGTATTTAGCCACTTCTGTGCTTCTGTATACCCAGTGTCAAATAGTAATATTACTTCATAAAGTTGTTATGGGAAATTGAATTCATTTTAAAGTAAATTAAATTTAAAAATCAAATTCATTTAAAAAAAAAAAAAAAAGCTTAGAACAATACCTGGAATGAGCTCTATAAGCATCCTTAGGTCAATTCTAGTAAACAAATAGAGCCTATAAATTTTCTCTAGAAAAGCCTTCATATGTGGTCTTTTCTCCTCATTTAACAAACCAGTTGAGAACCATTATTTCATATAACATCACCTTATCACTCTGCTGAAATTGTTTTTTGAAAGATCATTAATGATTTCTTAATACAAAAAATTCAATATTTCCCCCCCACCCCACCCCTCATTCCCCAAATGCTCTGCATGAATTGTTCCAGTGGCTTCCTTCTGAATATCTCTTCTCCTGATTTCTGGATCTTTTTGGTTGTAGGAACTTTATATTTTTATATTTTGTCCCCTAAGACTGCTTCTGCTGCTATACTAACTACTACTTCATAATGCATCCATTCCCCAAATTATTCCCTTCAATATCAATATCTTCCTGTTAACAACTATCCCCATAGCTTCCACCTCTATGCAGATGACTCAAACCTTTATCTCTCCAACTATACACTGGAAAGTTCCATTGTACCCCATCCTCAAAAGCCAATTTATTATGGAGTCTTCACACCATTCACGACAGCACACTTGCTTCCTTTCCAGTAATGCATTCATAATTCCATATCAGGACTTCATTACTGCTCACTAGGCTGATATCATTACTCCTTAAAAAAACAACACACACACAAAACAAAACAAAACAAAACAAAAAAAACCTCCAATAAGTATGCCTAGATTTGCTAAAGGGTTCAGAATCAGTCTATAGAAATTTCTATTCTATAGACTGATCTCCAGAATAATATGGCTTTCTACAGTGCAACTTTGACTTTATCATTCTTCCCCTTAAAATTCTGAAGACTATCCACCTCCTTTAGGATTGAATCTTTCACTATCTGGGCCTCGGACTATTTTCCCAATCTCAAATCTTGACTACACACAAGGACTCCCCCCCCCCCTCCCATATACCCCCATTCCCTCCTCTCCCCACACAAGTTATGCTCAGTCATCCTTCCAAAGCATTGCAATTGTTTCTTCTGCCTGAAAAGCTCTTCACCTGATGTTCAGGAAGGGTAATTCAGAGGTCACTTTCTTCAGCCTTCCCAGCCACTGCCCCTTGAGCAGTTCACCCATGTATGACTCATAATACATACTATATTGTAGGAGCACTTATTTGTTTGTATCTGGCTCCCAAACTTGACTATAAAAATTGGAACGATATCTCAAGGATCCCCGGTGCCTGGCACAGCACCAGGAACACAAAAGGTGCTGTAGCCAGTGGTAGCTGATGGGCAGGAAACCCGGGCAAAAGGATAACCTCATAGTGATGCCCGCGGGTTGGCGCCGAGGCCTTGCCAAAGCCTCAGCTCTGGCACTTCCTACAACAAGATGCCAGCGGCAGGCGTCCAAGCCCACAGCCAGGACCTCGGCCGGGGTCGCAGCAGGAGGTCCTGGGAGCATCCTTCAACTCCCCGCTCCGGAGGAGGAAAGGGAAAGGGGCGGGGCGCAGCGGGGGCCGGGCCAAGGGCTCCTGAAGTCCCCCCGGGCCTAGGCCAGCCCCTCGGCCCCCATCAGGTCCTCGCCGATCGAGGGCCCCGAGGGGCTCCATCCTGACAGACCCCGTACCCCTGCCCGGTCCTCTGGCCGCCGCCGCCGCACTTACAGACCCAGGGGGAGGAAGGCCACGGTCAGTATCCGGCACCGCCAGGAGCTCCGGCCCCTCGGGGCTCCGGGATGGGGGAGGGGCGGGGAGCCCGAGCCAAAGGGGGACCCAACGGAACCGGAAGGGCAGCCCTCGCGGACAGGGACCACTTCCAGGTCCCATGGTCCTCTCCGCCAATCGGAAGGCTCGACAGGCGACGGGGCCGCCGGAGGGAATTTCCACGCCGAGGGTGGGAGTGCGGGTCGAACGCTTTGGACTCCAGGGGCAAGCATTGACTCCCGAGACTTGGGGGATGTGGAGGTTCCTTAGCGTTTGGGGTTCTGGCTTCTCAGTGGCTCCTCTCGAGCTGGATCTCGACCATCTGCTGCCTGCATGGGCCTGAAGGGCGCCTCGGCGCTGAAGCGTTGGTAAGTCTCGCCTAGGGATGCGGACTTGCTTTTGGATGTTGGTGTTCCCCGGGGATCTCGCATTCTCATGGCTTCCATCCCCAAATCTCTCTCGCCAGCCCAGACGGCTCTCCTGAGCCCCAGGGCCAACTGCCTACAAGACATCTTCAATTGAATGTCCTAATGCCAATGTACACCGTGCCGCCCCCTTCCCCCCATGGACCTGTTGACCTTATCTCAAGTTCATCTGGCTCTTATCTCCCATGGTCCTTGTATAGGTGAGTGGCATCATCCACGACCAGGAAACTTCAACATCCTAGACTCCCTTTCCTTCTCCTTGCCAATCCGGTTGCTCCCTGGGTTCTCCCTCCTTGGAGGACGTATTATGGTAGAACACTCATAGTTAGTTATCCTTTTAAAAATTTGTAAGTGTAAAAAGTTCTGGGTCATCAAGTACATTCACAATGCTGAGTGATCGTCCTCACTGGTATACCTAACCAACTTTATTCTTGAGCTTGTGGATAGCGTTTTCTCAGGACTGTTCGTTGAAAAGACATTTCTTTCTCCATCGACTGTTCTTGGCACCTTTGTTGAAAAATCAACTGACTATATATGTGAGGGTTTATTTCTAGGCCCTCTGTTCTATTGCATTGTCCTAATGCTAGTCACATATTTTTGTTTTGTTTTAAAATATATTTTTTATTGATTTCAGAGAGGAAGGGAGAGGGAGAGAGAGAAATATACACAATGAGAGAGAATCATTGATTGGCTGCTTCCTGCCCGCCCTGTACTGGGGATGGAGCTGGCAAACCAGGCATGTGCCCTTGACTAAAATCAAACCTGGGACCTTTCAGTCCGCAGGCGGACGCTCTATCCACGGAGCTAGGGCTGTAACGTAATGCTTTAATTGTTGTAATTTTGTAGTCCGTTTTTTGTTGTTAACCCTTCCCCGGGGATGTTTTCTCCGTTGATTTTTAGAGAGTGGAAGGGAGGGAGAGAAAGAGAGAGGGGTATAAGTAGAGAGTAAGAGGGATATAAGTAAGAGAGATTGGCCTTATAGCTTTTGTGCCTTCATTTTCTTCATTACTGCCTTTTTCTGTGTTTATTTGATTTTTGTAGGGAAATGTTTTAGTTCACTTGTCATACCCCTCTGTGTATTTTCTATAGATACTTTCTTTGTGATTGCCATGAGAATAACACTTAATAGCCCAAAGTTATAACATTCTAATAGAATTGATACCAACTTCAATACCATATAAAAACTCCTATTGTACAGCTCTGTCCTCTCTTCCCATTATTGATGTAATAAATTGCATCTTTAAACATTTGTGTCCAATAATATAGATTAATATTTTTATGCATTTCTCTTTTAAGTCATGAAGAAAATAAAAAGTGGACTTACAAGTCATAATTAAAGTAATGCTTGTGGCGAAACCCATTTGGCTCAGTGGATAGAGCATCAGCCTTTGTGGGTTTTTTTTTGTGTGTGTGTGTTTTTAATATATTTTATTGATTTTTTACAGAGAGGAAGAGAGAGGGATAGAGAGTTAGAAACATCAATCAGCTGCCTCTTGCACACCCCCTACTGGGGATGTGCCCACAACCATGGAAACCGGACTTTTCAATCCGCAGGCAGACGCTCTATCCACTGAGCCAAACTGGTTTCGGCAGAGCCTTTGGACTAAAAGGTCCCAGGTTCGATTCTAGTCAAGGGCTTGTACCTTGGTTGCGGGCACATCCCCAGTGGGAGGCATGCAGGAAGTAGCTGGTCGATGTTTGTAACTATCTCTCTTCCTCTCTGTAAAAAATCAATAAAATATATTCAAAAAAATAAAGTAAGGGGGGGGGTATGGTAAGATATGTACACAGGTAATAATTTAATAAAAAAATTTTTAAAAAATGAATCCGACTTTAAAAAAAGCAATATTTGCTTTTACAATTGTCCGTGTATTGACACTGAAAGGAGATACTTATATTCTCATATGGCTTCTAATTACTGTCAAGTGTTTTTTTCAGGTCAACCTGAAGGCTTCCCCTTCGCATTCTTGAAGGGCAGGTTCAGTGGTAACTAACAGTAACAAACTCCCTTACCTTTTTTAAAAAGTAGGGAATTTGTTAATTTCTCCCTATTTTATTTTCAGAGAGAGGAAGGGAAACGGGGAGAGAAAGAACGAAATATCAATGATATGAATCATCAATTGGCTGCCCACACCAGTGATCCAGAGATCCAGCCCACATCCTGGACATGTTGACCTGGAATCAAACTGTGACCTCCTGGTTTATGGGTCAACATTCAACCACTAAGCAACACCAATGGGACTCTCCCTTATTTTTGAAAAACAGTTTTGCTAGATATAGAATTATTTGTCAACATTTTTTTTTTCTGTCAGCACTTGGAATATTATCAATCCACTACTTTTTGGCTTCTAAGGTTTAGGATGAAAAATTGGCTGTTTATCTTATGGATGGTCCTTTGTATTTCTTTCTTGCTACTTTCAAGATTTTTTTCTTTTGCTTGCTACAGTTTGATAATTATTCTTCCTCCTCTTTTTCTCTTCTGCTGGGATTCCCACAGGGGTATTTTGTTTCTCTTGACAGTGTCCAATAGATCCCTATTCCTCTATTTATATTTCTTTCTTTTTTTCTTTTTGTGTTCTTCAGATGGAGTAGGAAGTGCAAGGAACTCATCTCTCTACCTAGATAATAATTGTCCTGGCAGAATCTCAAGTAACTATTTTGGAATTCTGGAGTCTATTTGAAAACTTGCATTTTCCAGGGGAAAGCTTGGTTGGTAAATTGAGCTTTATTTCAGTGTCAGCCTTCAGTATGATAACACCTAACCATCTCCTACCCGTTCAGCTTGTGGCAGGCAGTCATCTTTATATTCAAGTGTGCTTGCTGGAGCCAGGATAGGAAATCAGAACCTTGTTCTCCAAATACTTGGGTTCTGTATTATATGACATATAACTTATGGTATGTGCTAGTTCAAAATGTTTGACTTTAATCCATTGAAACTGGAAGCTATATCTCGAGGAAATAGAAGGTCTAGAGCAAGCATGTCAAACACAACGAATATTTTTGTGGTCCAGCTAATATAATTGTATGTAAAAAATGATTTAATAAAAATTTTGTAACTTAATTTTTACAATATCCTGTAAATACATAACTATTAATAACGAACAAAACCTTCCCTAAAGGCTGAAACTGGTTTGGCTCAGTGGATAGAGCATTGGCCTGCGGTTCGATTCCGGCCAAGGGCATGTACCTTGGTTGCGGGCACATCCCCAGTAGGGGGTGTGCAAGAGGCAGCTGATTGATGATTCTCTCTCATCGATGTTTCTAACTCTATCCCTCTCTCTTTCTCTCTGTAAAAAAATCAATAAAATATATTTTTTTAAAAAGTTCACTAATGACTGATTACTGTAACCATGTTATACATATTTCCCTACTTGCCTTATTTGCAGGCACATCATTTCTCTCCACTAATATTAGCAGCGAATATTTTAGCAGCCAGTTGTCACGTCAGTAGTCTTGTACAGACTTGTTTGGTGTGCACACCAAATAATTTCACTTTTGGAGAACAAGAAAAATAGGTTTATTTGTGTTGCACTTATTTGTGCAGTTATTCAGTCTCTGGTAAGTTAATGTTCAAGAAAAAATACGAAATTTTATTAAAATGTTCTATTATTTTATGTTAATGATTACTCATTTATTTCAGCCTTTTGTATTCAGCATGACTATCAAAATAAACCTACGTTTCTATGAAAATTGAAGCTTTTGTTTTTTTGCAGCCCACATAAACTTAAACCTTGTTTATATGGCCCATGTTAGCCTTTGAGTTAGGCATGCTTGGGAGAGGGACAAATTCAATGACCTTGAGGAAGCAACTATTTGGATTCAGAAGGTTCTTAAAGTGGTCTAATTTCTTTAATAAGAAATGTCTTTACATTTTTTCCTTAAGTGCTAGATTAAAAAATACTTGGGGACACTACTAGATGCAATGTGTGGCCCTAGATTTGATACTAACTAGGGAAAACTAGCTCTTAAAAAATGTATTGCAGGTAACAGCAAATTTGATTATAGTTAGGTATTAAATGGGAAGATTTACTGAAATATTACTGATTTGGGAAAGCCAACAGGAAAAACATTGTTAGGTTGATATAAAATTTGAATATATTCTAGGAATTATATGAGAGGAAAATTGAAATAATGTATATGTTGTTCGTTAAATAAAATAGATTTCTAGCCAAACCGGTTTGGCTCAGTGGATAGAGCTGTCAGCCTGCTGACTGAAGGGTCCCAGGTTTGATTCCTGTCAAGGGCATGTCCCTTGGTTTCGGGCACACCACCAGTAGGGGGTGTGCAGGAGGCAGTTGGTCGATGTTTCTCTCTCATTGATGTTTCTAGCTCTCTATCCCTCTCCCTTCCTCTCTGTAATAAATCAATAAAATATATTTAAATAATTTAAAAAAAAAGTAGATTTCTATACTGTTTCCTCATTTTGAAAAACAATTATGATGACACTGAAGGATGTATAAAAGTATTAACATTGGTGGTGGGAATGTGATATTTTTATTTGTTATTTTAGTTTGTGTGTATTTTTCTCTAAGATATACTATTCTGTAATAAAATTGTGTTTCAAAATTTTCTCTTAAGGTTTACATATATGTTGGGGTGTACATGAGTCAAGAAATACATGTATGGTCACCAAAATATTAAAAGTGGTTGTCAGGAATTCAGGGCATTTTACTTTCTTCCTAATACTGTATGTTTTAA